TAATCCTTTTCTGTTAGATCTTCATTTTTATTTCTGATTTTAGTTCTTGCATCTTCTCTTTTTTTCTCTTAGTTGAGCTAAAAGTCAATTTTGTTGGATCTTTTTTAAAAAGAACTTTTCTTTTGGTTTTATTGGTTGTCTCTATTGTTTTTCTATTCTCCATTTAATTTATATATGCTCTAAACTTTATCATTTCCTTCCTTTGCTAGCTTTGGGTTTAGTTTGCTCTTCTTTTCCTAGTTTCTTAAGGTATAAAGTTAGGGTGTTGATCTGTAAATATCCCTCTGAGCACTGCTTTCACTGCATCCCATAAGTTTTGGTATATTATGTTTTCATTTTCATCCATGTCAAAGTATTTTCTAATTTCCCTAGTAATTTCTTCTTTAATGTACTGGTTGTTAAAGAATGTGTTGCTCAATTTCCATGCATTTGTGAATTTTTCACTTTTCTTCTGTTACTGATTTCTAGTTTCATTCTCCAGTCGTTGAAGAAAATATTTTGTACAATTTTGATCTTTTAAAATTCACTGAGATTTTTTTATGGCCTAACGTATGGTCTATCCTGGAGAATGTTCCACGTACACTTGAGGAGAATGTATTTCTGCTGTTGTTGGATGGGATGTTCTGTACATGTATGTTCGGTTTACTTGATTTATAATGTTCTTCAAGTCCTCTATTTCCTTATTGATCTTCTGTCTAGATATTCAAGCCATTATTTAAAGTGAGATATTGAGGCCAACTCCAACTGTTATTGTAGAATTATCTATTTCTCTCTTTAATTCTGTCAGTATTTGATTCTTATATTTTGGGTGTATATGTTTATAATTACTGTATTTTCTCAATAAATTGATCCTTTTATCAATATACAGCATTCTTCTGTCTCTTGTAACAACTTTTAACTTAAAATCTATTTTGTCTGATGCTAGTATAGCCACCCCAGCTCTCTTGTAGCTACTATTTGCATAGAATATATTTTTCCAATCATTTCAACCTATTTGTGTCTTTGCTTCTAAAGTTTCTTGTAAGCAGCATATAGCTGGATCACAGATTTTTGTACATTCTGCTAATCTCCATCTTTTAATAAATTGACCTTATCCGTTTACGTTTAAAATGATTACTGATAATAAAGGACTTACTTCTACCATTGTGCTATTTGTTTTCTTTATATCTTAAACTTTTTTCTTTATTTCCTTGAATACACCCTACTTTCGACTGATTTTTCTAGTGTACAGTTTTGATCCCTTCTTCATTTCCTTTTCTATACATTTTTTTAGCTATTATCTTAGTGGTTACCCTGGGGATTACAACTGACATCCTAAATGGACAAAAATCAAGTTTCAATTTATTCCAGCCCCCCAACCCCAAAATGACCTCCATCCTCTGTCTTTACGACTGAAAGCAGCAAATTTCAGGCTGTTTTAGAACAGTCGCTTTCCCTACTTTGGCCATCAGGGTTCAGCAGGATGAAGGTTCAATCAAGAAGCTGTTGTCTTTATTTAAATGAAGTGTCAGGTCCAGTTTTTTATACTTTGATTTTATCATACTTGAAACTAAAATGCAGAACTATCCAGTTCAGTACTGGATACCAGTATTGCATGTCATGTCAACTATCCTGTTGGATACCAATATTGCATGTCAAAACATGACATCTGGAGTCTAAATCCCAGTTCAATGACCAGCCACATATATTACTTTGGATACATTCTTTAGCCTATCAGCATCTCAGTTTCATCATCTATAAAATGAATTAATAGTAGCTCCTACTTCTTAGAGCTGTCACAGGAATTCAAAGAGATACATGTAAAGTTCTTAAAACAGCACCTAGCACAGAATAAATCTTCCACCTGAATGTTAGCTATTACTGTGTTTCCAGCTGTCCATCTCTTGGCACTTCCCCTCTCCAGCTCTACCTCTCTTTATCTACCTGGCTAATTCTTGTTTTAAAAACAATCAGATGTGTTTTAATATCCATCCACTTAAAGTCTGACAATGCCAAGTGCTAGTAAGGACAAGGAGCAATGAGAACCTTCATACATTGCAAGTGGAAGTATAAATTGGTACAGCTATTTTGGAGAGCAATTTGGCAATATCTGGAAAAGTTAAAGGTGTCCATAATCCACATCTCAACAGTTACAATCCTAGGGCTATACTCTAAAGAAACCTTCACACCTGTACACAGGAAATGTGTGCAAGAATGTTCCAAACAGCACTGCTTGTAAGAGAAAAAATACTGGGAAGAACTTTAGTGTCCTTCAACAGGAGAATGGATAAATACCTTGGTAATCATAACATATAATCGTACATTGGAATGCTATATCACAGTTAAAAGAGGTTCACGTAATGATGGGTAAATCTCAAAAACATATTGCTGACTAAAAGAAACAAGTTTCAAAAGGAGATGTACAGTATGACACTTATCGACAAAAAGCTTAAAATCATGCAAATTTGCTACACATTGTTTATGGATACATGCATATGTAGTAAAAGTGTAAAAACATGTGTGGGAAGGATAAACACCAAATGCAAGGTGATGGTTACCTTTGAAGAGGAGGGGGAGGAAGGAGAAAAAGGAATAGAATTGGGTGGGGTTCACAGGAAGTTTCAACTGTATTTCTTTTTTAAAAACCTCTGAAAAAAAAAGAGAAAAAAACAAAAGCTGTGAAGCAAGTTTAATTATAAAATGTTAAGATTCAAGGAAGCTGGGTGGTGGGACAAAGATATTTGTTCAATCAGTCAGAAGTTTAAAAAAACAAAAGCAAGATGAAGAAAATCAGAAGATTGGTTGAAAATCTGTATAAAGAGCATTCTAGGTCCCCAAGCAGTCAGGTGATTATCCCATTTCCCCACTGGCCCATCCCATTTCCACCCCTTCCTCCATCTCCACCAACAGAGATTCATTTTCTATACACTCAAACCCAGCGGAAGGCAGTGGGGAGGCACAGGGATTATAATGGCATTAAGTGGAAGTGGGCTGGAACTTTAAAAGCATTCTTAAGACTCTGGGAACACTCACAGCCAAGTTTATAAGCCCAAAGCAACTAGAGGATCCTTCTCTGGAGAAAAGACCAATATTGACATATGAGGGCCCTCTATGAAATCTGGCACATCATCAGTGCACCTTAGAGTGAAGTCCATTAATCCAGTGCTTCTCACTACATAATATGCATTTGAATCACCTAGGGATGTTGCTAAGATGCAGATTCTAAATCTGTAGTTTATGGTGGGACCTGAGATTCTGTGTTTCCAAAAAGCTTCCAGAGGAAGCCAATGCTGCTAGTTCCTTTTAAGTAGTAAGGTGCTTGTCAACACATCTTGCCCACACACTTCAGCCTCCACTCAGCTTTTTGGAGTCTCATCCCTAAATACGAACAGGCTGCTAAAGTAACCAGACTTTTGAGGATGGCCATTAACATAAATGAGAGAGATGAGAAAAGAAAAGAAAGAAACAGAGCAAAGAGCAGTTTAGTTTTTAGAGAAAAACTAAAAACAAACACACTATAGTATCCTCAGAAAGAAGATATTCCTGTCCATAAAACATATAATAGCCTCAGAAAGATAGAAGATATTCCTGTCAATAAAACAAGGATAGAATATGGGAAGGGGAGTTGGGGAAAAAAGGTCTTGGGAATTAAAAATAAGAAAACTGAAATTTAAAATGGTTGAAGATAATGACACGGAAATATCGCAGAAAAATAGAACAAAAACAAACAAACAATGGGTACAGAGTTTCAGTTTTGCAAGATGAAAAGAGTTTTTGAGATTGGTTGCATTACAATGTCAATAAACTTAACACTACTGAACTGTACACTTAAAAATGGTTAAGATGGGCTTCCCTGGTGGCGCAGTGGTTGAGAGTCCGCCTGCTGATGCAGGGGACACGGGTTCGTGCCCCGGTCCGGTAAGATCCCACATGCCGCGAAACAGCTGGGCCCATGAGCCATGGCCGCTGAGCCTGCGCGTCCGGAGCCTGTGCTCCGCAACGGGAGAGGCCACAACAGCGAGAGGCCCGTGTACCGCAAAAAAAGAAAAAAAAAGGTTAAGATGAGAAATTTTATGTTATGTACATTTACCACAATTAAAAATAAAACAAACAAACCCAAAGAAACAAAAAATAGAAGAAAAAAATGAAAGGATCAATCCAGAAATCTAACTTCTAAATAACAGGCATTCCAGAAAGAGAACCAAAAAAAGTGGAGGAGAAGAAATTATCAAGTAAATAATCAAAGAAAATTTCCTCCAAAACTGAAGTACATGAGTTTCCACTCTGAATGAGTGCTCAGTACAAAACAATTAAGAGTCACAGCAAAGCATATCATTATAAAATTTCCAACCAACAGCCTAAAGAGAAAATCCTAATGCTTCCAGAGATGGAGATGGAGAAGATGTAACATACGAAGGATCAGGAATATGAACAGGAATCAGACTTTTTACAATAGCAACCCTGGAAGGTAAAAGAAAATGAATAATACCCTCAAAATTATGATGGAAAATTATTTTCAAACTTGAATTCAATAACCAGCCCAACTATAAATTCAATTACAAATCAAGTATTAGAATAAAATTAAGACATTTTAAAATATGCAAAGATTCCAACAACATATCCCCTATCTCTCTTCCTTACAAGGTTACTAAAGGAGGTGCTTTAGCAAAACAAAGAAGTAAATTAAGAAAGAAGAAGGCATGGGATCCATGAAATGGGCAAAACCAGCCCATGACAGCAATGAAGGAAAATCCCAGAATGACAACTGTATAGCAAGTCTAGAGATCAGTCAGCCCAGACTGAAACAAGAGGAAGGAGGCTCTGGGACAAAGACTCTAGAGAAAAAAATGGAATTTATGCATTTGAGTATATGGAAAATATTGCTAGAGTTTTGGACAGAGCCTTGGAACACTTGCAGGGGTGGCAGCAGCCAACTGTAGATAATATAGAAAATTGACAAGTGAGGAAAAAAAGGCAATAATTAACTCTAAGAAAAATGGAGGGCTGTATAAGCTAGAAGGCATGGTTGTACTACCTTTATTGGCTCATTAGTAAACAGTATTTGCAAACATAATTTAAATGCTGATTATTGGTTTAACTAAAAATAGTTATATAAATGTGGAGGTGGAGAACAGAAGTGATAGACTCATTCATGTTCTTATCTATCACGGCAGGAAGTCAACAAATAACCCTTAAAATTAACAAATCAAGAATTAGTAGTATACACATTTATTTAGATATATGGATCTAATCTGGATGAGTATCTAAAGGAGTTGAGGCTATTGCCTCTAAAGAGTAGGCCAGAGAACTGCTTTTTTCATTACAAGCCTTCTAGTATATGTATATATATTTTAAACTATGTATGCGTATTATTTTAGTTCAATAAACAACGTCAAAATATTAGCATATTATTTGGGGGTATCCGCAATGTCTCGAAGTTTATCCATGGCCGGTAAATAAATCCGTTTTGAAGGGCTCTCTGGGCCTCGCTGACAAGAGCTAGTTTTTTGCTCATTTTCTGCATTCCCCATCCCCCGCTTTCCTGGGAGCACTTAGCATAAAATAAATCAATACATGTAAAAATAACTCAAGTTTGTCAGATCCTCCCTGGAGAAGGAAAAATACAAAACAAGGCACACAGGCAGAAGGTACAGACGCAGCACAAAAATGAGTTCATTTCCCACATGAAGTTGAGTAAAAAAAGTATGTCTCTGGCAGAGGTACTGGAAGGTAAGGGTTTCAGAGGCAGAGAAAATCATGTTCGGGGCACCTTGGAGGCAGCTCCCGGCAGAGAAATGGAGGCATGACAGGAAACCAGGTAGGTTTATTCACTTCGGTGACTTCTCATTCCTTTCCTTCCTTGCCCTTTTAACACTCTGTAGTTACATAAATTGAGTTTGTAGTCCGTTTCCTTTACCAGACTATGAGCTCCACGAGGGGGGGACCTCATCTGTTTCACGCGCCACTGTATTCCCAGCGCAGAGCAGGAGCCCATTAAACATCTGTGGAAGAAATGAATGCACGATGGTGCCGCCGGACAGCCATTAGTGTGGCATGAGGAAGGGTCACACCGACAGCAAACAAGCTGAGAGCAAAGAAGCCGGCTGGGATATGACAAGGGCGAGCTTCTTCTAGGGTCTCTGAAAGTACAAGACGGGAAGAGTGGAAGTAAACCTTTGGCGAGTGCGGGAGGGAGACGGCGGACAGTGAGGCAGGCCTCGGGGAAGGACTGCAGGGTAGGAAACACACTAACCACAGCCAGTTGCAGCGTCTATGGGAAAGTGGAGTTGGAACTAGCGGCACCGCACATGCGCATGCGCGGCCTCCGCCCCCGCCCGGCGCGCCTGCGTGCGCGTGCACGAGGGGTCGGAGCGGAAATGGCCCCGCGGGGCCGCGCGTCCGGGCAGCGAGCGGAAGTGGGTGTGAGAGCGGAAGTGGCCGGCTAGAGCCGGGGGCTGGGCGGGGACCGGGCTCGTCAGTGAGGCGGCAGCGGCGGTGGCGGCGGCTTGGCAGGCGGGTTCAGGCTTCGGGGGCCAGGTCGGTCGGGTGGGTGGGTAGGTGTCTCCACAGTGAGTGCGTGCGCGGGCCAGCGCGCGCGCGTTCCCTTACCCCCACCCCGATCCCTTTCCCCTTCTCCCCTAACCTCCTACCCCACCCAGCTCCCCTCCTCAGGGGGCAGCAGGGCCGCTCCCTCCGTCCTTTCCTCCTTTACCCACCCTCACCCGCCCTTGTTTCTCCTTCCCCTGCCCGGGGCAGCCGCCGCCATGATCCTGCTGGAGGTGAACAACCGCATCATCGAGGAGACGCTCGCACTCAAGTTCGAGAACGCGGCCGCCGGGTGAGCGCGCGCTGGGGGCCGGGGGCTGGTGGGTGGCGGGGGAGGCAGAGTTGACCCCTGCTAATCGTTCAGCCCCCCAGACATGGAGGAGGGAGGTGGGAGACCTGGCAGGGTGTGGGGACTGCCCAGGCGGTGTAGACGTGGGCGGTGATTGGGCGCGGTGGGGTGAGGGGCAGAGATGCGTGGGGAGAGGCTCAGAGGAGGGATGCGGAAGCAGTGAGTGGACAGGAGAGCGCGTGCCAAAGTGCAGGAGACCTGTGGGACGTGAGGGTAGCTTGGGCCAGAACTCTTCGCTGGAGGATCCCATTGCCCGCTGGAGCGAGCAGGGGACCACTTCCCTCTGTATTCCCCGTCATTGTTCAGAACCCGGAGAGAGCCCATTTGGGATTGGATTGGAAGGAGTTTTCAGGAATTCCCAGGACTGGAGGAGGAAAGAAGATGCAGGCCCAGATCACCACCAGTCTTCTCGTTCCCCACCCCCCACCTCGTCTAAGGGAGCGGGAGGGAAGACTGAAGGCAGGCCCAGCCTTGCAGCCGGAAAACCCGATGATCTCTCTAGTTTACCTTCCCTGAACCCAGCTGTGAGAGACACTGGCCATTTTGTTACATTTCTCAAGCAAAGTTAGTCGTCCCCCACATCCACAGCCCTTCCTTATCGCTCTTCTGAGGTTCTAATAATCCTTTCCTCACCCGCTGTCCTCTATCTGGTTGTTTATCTTTTAAATTCTTATACCATACCCCTGGTCTGTGATTTCTTCTGCAGTAATTCTGGCCTAGATACACAGTTAAAAGCCTCTAGAGTCTGTTAAGTTCTTAGATGAAACCTGTTTTTAGCCATTGGCTTTTTTAAAAGTGGGCTTTAGGACATGTTTCAAAGGCACCCTTCTCTGTCAAACACAAGAATCAGTAGAAGACAACCTCTTCCCCCAAAGCTGCTTTGCTTTTGTAATATATTTAAACCAAGGAGTTGGTTTTAGCTTCTAATTTCTGGTGGCTTGTGGCCAGTGCCTTTGCCTCATTTCCCCATCTGTGAGGATGGGGCTTCACATCTTGCTTACACAGTTGAGGAAATAAGTGCAAACCGTTTCTGGTGAACTGGGAACTAATAAAAAGAGCAAGTGCTTGGAGAGCCACAGATGGAAGAGGATTGGTGGAGGGGAAATTCTAAGTGGACATAATGAACTTGTGGCTTGGAGGCATTAAAAAAAATACTTATAACCCACTGCTTAAATTGAATATATTGTCTGTCTCTTTTATAAGGCCACAGATTTTATCTGTAAAGCAAAGCACAACGTTTCTTGAAGTAACACATACAGTGAGCAGTAGCTACTGTTTCCTGCCAGGGACTGCAGTTGCTTATATTTTAGGCTAACTTGCTTCGTGTCTTCAGCCTCACTTACCAGTTGCTTTGCATTTTAAATGTTCAAACGAATCAGCTTAGTGGCTTATTTTGGGTGATTGCTCTGTCCTTTTTTGAGCAGTGTAGCACATAGGAGGAAGTTAAATTAACTTCTGCATTTTCACAGCTGATCTCAAGTGAATTCTCAAGTTTAGACTAGCAAAAAATGAGACCTGGGTGGTTATAAGCTGATCTACAAGATAAATGCCTGTGCATTTCAAGTAGAAGCATGCCTTGTGGTGTAGGAGTACCTTCACAACTACTTGTTTGTTAATAACTTGTGATTCTGAAATGTAGCCCATAACTCAGAGCTTCAGCTCTTCTGCTTTTAGAACATTACTCTTAAAAAGAGCTACTAACCATTTCAGTGGGAGTAATGTAGGCACTCAAGTCTGGAAGGCATAAGTTAGAACTTCTGGGACTTTTTTTTACAAAGTATATGTTGTAGCGATGTTGAATATTGGGGCAGGGCAGCAAGCTTTGTCTTTTCTTCTGGCTCTTCTTCCCTTTGAGGTGTGTCTTTAAGTAAGTGGGCTCAAAACGTATTCTGCTGTAAAGCACTTTGAAAACCTTTGAAAAGAGACTATGATATTCAGCTGAGGAGGTAGGGCTTTCCTGGGATTGCAAATGTAACACCTAGCAGAAGCCTGTTTCTAGACGGGGTGTGAATTTCCAGGCATACCAGTAAGGTGAGGCAGCAGTAGAGTAGTTAAGAATTTATCAAGGTGCATGCCTAGCCAGAGCTTCCAGAGAAGGGTGACTAGTGTGATAATCATAAACGTTGGTAGGCTTCTCCCAGTGCTCAGCACCAGGCAGGAACAGGAAAGGGGGACCTTTCTGAGAGCATTGGCAAAGTTACAGAGGACCAAAGGGGTGACACGTGTTGGGGTGGCGATCAGAGAAAGATTAAAGAAAGGCAGTAGTGCTGAGGAGAAACCCTGGGGATTTGAAAGGCTTGGCCCTTGTGGGAACATGCTGGGAGAGGTCAGCTCCACCCTGCTTTACACTTCTCAAAAAACCAGTTGGGGAAATTAGGTTCTGAGCAGCCTTCCCCAGAGTGAATCTTCCACCTCCACGATGTCCAATAATGATAGCCAGTAACAACATGTGACTAGTTTAAGTTTAAATAAAAATTAATTAAAGTGAATTAAAATTAAGTTTCTCAGTCACACTAGCCACAGTTCTAGGGCTGAGTTGCCACATGTGGCTAGGAGCAGCGGTATTTGGGTAGCAGAGATGTAGAACATTTCCATTATTGCAGAAAGCCTGCATTTGGAAATGTAGCACTGTTCCAGCTACTAAGAACATAAGCATGAGATAGATAGTCTTAAAAATAGTTCTGTCGTATATACTTTAGAATACTGTTAGAGTAATTTTCCTTTTGAAGTTGATCTTATTTTAAACGCCTCTCAGAGCATGGTAATGGATTTATGACAGGTCCTTCTCTATGGGCCTCTCATAATGTACCCATGCGAGAGTAAATTGCAGCCTCGAACCATTGCCCAGCCTCCTTACCTGTGGACTGTGAGCACTGAAGGGTGTTGTACAGTATGAAACAGAAGAGAGTGATGCCTCTCATATCATCCTGCTGGGTCTTCTTGCCTGTGACATCCTACTGAAAGTCTAAATTTCCTTCAAATAAAGCAATTCTGTCATCTAAATTGTTTAAGAATACATTTGGGGACTTCCCTGGTGGCACAGTGATTAAGAATCCACCTGCCAATGCAGGGAACGTGAGTTCGAGCCCTGGTCCAGGAAGATCCCACATGCCGCGAGCAACTAAGCCCGTGTGCCACAACTACTGAGCCTGCGTGCCACAACTACTGAAGCCCGCGTGCCTAGAGCCTGTGCTCCACAGCAAGCGAAGCCACCACAGTGAGAAGCCCGCGCACCGCAACAAAGAGTAGCCCCCGCTCGCTGCAATTAGAGAAAGCCCACGTGCAGCAGCGAAGACCCAACACAGCCAAAAATAAATAAACTAAAAAAAAAAAAAAAAGAATACATTTGGTCACGACACCCTTTTAATTTGGAGGCAGTTCCGACAAAGCCTAAGATTCATTCCAAACGATTTACCGTTTTTTTTTTTTTCCTACCGCCCTATTGGGAAGGTGGCTTATTGGAATGATTTCTGTATCCTCACAGAATGATAGTTATTGGTAAATTGTCTTCCCAACAGCCTCCAAGCTAAGAGACTGTGACTGATTAAGAAGCTATTTTGAACACTGCAGATAACCTCATGTGCAGGTCTTGTCAACAGCATTTTGTTTTTGTTTTTTTTAATCATTTAGGAAGTATTACCCAGGCCCCCAATTAAAGCAGAAGTAATCTGGCAAATTAATTTAATTCTTTTGTTAGTATATACACACCAAGAACCTTTACAGCCTCAGAAACTAGGCTTGTCAGCTTAGCTAGAGTCCAAAATTGAGGAAATGCTGTCAGATGCAAATTGCTGTTGATTTTAAGTGCATGCTGGCTCCTTGCCACAGCTGTGCATATTGTGGGGAGCTGTGGTTCTATAAGGGGGAGTGAAGCTCAGTAAGCAGGCTGTGCCAGTTGGGGAGGGCGAGGACTGTGGGAGGAGAAATTTGAGAAAGGAATAAATTAAATCTTGCTGATACCTTGTTGTCATTCCCAGATATGCTGCATATGTCCTCAGAGAGACATACTGGTTTGAAGTGATTTGGAATTAGGACATTGTTTAAGCATTTAGAAGAAATTGGATGTAGTGGCTGACTTGCTGAGACGATCTAGTTGGTCTTTTTACAGGTCACTGTAGTTAAACACTGCTGCCCACCCTCTGGCTGCCTTGGGACCACTTTGGGCATCAAGCCCCAGAGCTGCACTCCCTACGTGTGTACCAAACCTGTGACTCCTTAGGGGCAGGGCCTGTGGTTTCATCATCTTTGTTTTCCCAGCATTCTCACTGTGTGTATAGTCAGCTTAATAAGTGTTTTCTTGAAGCAATGGATGAAGCCAGATAGAATGGTTCTTAGTTTCTTTAGCAGTTTATCACTTTTCTGATATTGTGTGAATGAGCTTTTAGACCCTCTTTGTTCTTATTTTGAGACGTGGCTTAACAGAGAGTAGGACCACCCACTTCTTACCTAAC